AGTTATAATCGGCAAAAATTACGCCAATTAGTATAACGAAAATCACGTGGTCCAATACTTTTGACCGGGGAGTGTACGTCAACTGCCTGCGTCACTGACATTTGTTTATGTCAAAATCTTTTTTTTTTTTTTTTTTTTTTTTTTTTTTTTATGCTAGCTATTATAGGTTACATACATAAAACGTTCTGTATCCATTTATCGATCGACCAATAAAGTTATACAAGAATGAGCACACGATGGTTAGAGGAGGAGTATCCCAAGGGCAAAAGAGAACATATCGTCAAATTGGAAATTAGTGACAAGAAATTAAATGGTGCCTTAAAATTGGATGGTTTTATTAAGTTGGAAGAATTACATTGTTCCAATAATGAGTTAACTAGTTTAGACGTGAGCAATTGCTCAAAGCTTACCTACCTCGATGTTAATTACAATCAAATACGTGATTTAAGCCTTCCTAAAAATGAAGTAGGGTTAAAATATTTAAACTTGCTCAACAATAACTTACCTGAACAGGATTTAAATCTCTTTGGCAAATTTATTAATTTAAAAGAGTTGCATATAGGCACCATTGGAGATGATAGTGAGGTTTACAATCATTTTCATGGTAGCTTGGAACCTTTGAAATTTTTAACGAAATTGGAAATGTTAAGCATCAATAATACTGATATTGACTCTGGTTTGGAATATTTACCGACTAGTGTTAAAAATTTACGATGTTTAGCTGACAGACCGAATGCAAAAGTTAAAATTATAAATATGCAACTTGAGAAGTTTGCTATTGATAAGGTGGATGCTTTTCAGGGTAGATACAATTTGAAAGCGTGGAGAGATTACCAGAGGATAGAAATAGAAAAGGAAATCCTTCAAGAGCAATTGGATAATTTAATTAAGGAGCTAACATCAAATCAAGAAGAACACCTATATATTCAACAAATAGAATTGGAAGCTAAGCAAGAAGAGTTGAAAGCAAAAAAATTTCAGTTAGATCGAGAAGTTACAATACTTAAACAGCAAGTCGACGCTTTAAAAGCTGACATAAAGCAGAAAGAAAACGAGTTAAAAAATTTAACTGCGCAGAAATTAACAGAAAAGTTGCAGAAAGAAGAAAATGATAGAAAAAGAAACCTAGATCTAATAAGAGAAGCCAAGGTAGAATTGGAGAACAAATTGGGAGTAGTCGATAAAGAATTGAGAAATAAAAACGATGTCATCGTAGATTTGGAAAACCAAAGATTACAAATCATCTCCGAAATAGACAGTATTAAAATTGAGAAAGAAAATTTAAAGCGTCTCAATGAAGGGTTAAAAATTTGTGGAGGAAAGTTCAGCGTGGATTTAGGAAATCATTTGAAGAAATTGAAAGAAGGATTAAGTTCAAAGGGATTACAAAAGAAAGTAAAGCAAAAAAATGATGAACTTGAAAAGGTCAGAAAAAATGGGAGAAATCTCCAAAAGGAAAAAGATTCTTTGATAATTACAATAAACAAACTTCAAAAGGAATTATCAAGCGCTGACAAAACCCTTGGTAATGAAAGTCCTCGGGAAAAAGAACTAGAAGAGAAATTAGGAGAAATAATTCGTTCAGTTCCTCAAATAGTAACTAAAAAAATTGAATTAAAAGAATCAATTAATATTATTAGGGAAGATCTTAGTAAAAAAAGGAAGCCTTTGTTAGAGGAACTTTTAAAAGAAGTTAATGGTGGTTCCACTTCTGAAAAACTGGAAAGTATCAAAAAAGACCTGTGTACAGAATTACCTGAAAATGTTATCCAAGATCTTCTAAATAAGCAAGTGGAAGTCAATCGGTTATGGTATCATTGGAAACCCAAGGAATAAATTGTTCGAGACTATAACAAACTTAAAGACAAAGTAATTCCTAATAATGTTTGTTAAAAATAATTTTTAGTGTATATTTTAGCGTAGCTATTGTCAGTTTGTAATCACTTAACAAACTTTTTGAATAAAGCAATTTTATAATAAAATATATTAATTTTGTAACCTGACTAATTAGTTAATAATGAAGAAACACATAATAACCTTGCCTTGTTTTAATTACCAACAAGATTTATTATTGCAAAAGTTTCTATTAAAGTTTCTATTACTAATTCTGGCCCGACACAATCTCGGTGATCGGTCAAAAACTTCAAATGTTCCGACCTAAGTATATGGCATACGAATAAAAAAGAAATATTAAACCTGAGAATAAAAAAAAAATTTTTTTTTTTATCTTTCTATTAGAATAACAGCTTCGATTAGATATTCGAGTAACAGCTATGGATGATTTAATTTTTCTAGTATTAGATAGGTTTTTTTTTCTTTCATTCTTTTTTTACATATTTTTTTTTCGTGGCAAATGAACACTTTAATAATTAATCATTAATTTTTTTTATCAATTAATGTTTAAATCAGTTACTTCAATAAAAAAAAAAAAATGGTTTAAAATAAAGTTTTATTCATTGACTTTTCATAGCTTGACAAACGTCTTAATGTTAATTAGGTCAGCTATATTACAAAGTCTACGCTTTGTTACACTAATGGAATTCTTCAGGTTTATGTTTATATAAATAAAGTGCTTTGATTTTGAATAACATATTTTATGTAGGCACCAACAAATATTCATTCCTTATGACTCTGATGATCACACCTTTATTCACCCAAGAAAACGACGTCACTCCAAGATCTGGCAACGTTTGGCAAAAAAAAAAATGGAAATAGAAATAGAAGAAATGGACTGACTCGCTCACAAGCTAGAAACCTAACATTTTTTAACGTGATAAGGGAATATAAGTTGAGGAAAAATACAACAGAAAATCAATAACAAACAAGCGACAAATTCAAGATTGAAAGCGATACAGATGTTGGATTGGAGCTCGAGTTTTGTCCTAAACGACGAAAAATTCAGTTAATGCAGAATTTGGTACCTTGGATGTAATACAAGTCCCAAAAATCACCTTGTCGTCTTTACCACGCACACTATTGCCTTTGCAAAGAAACCAATAATTGATCAAATGTGCGGTATTGGTAAAACTTAAATTTCTTTTATAGATATCGCTTATGAACATATACAGTGTGGCATAAGAAAAAAACCGGAAATTTTCCGCGAAAACGAAACTGCGCATAACCTTGTCAAATTAACATGATTGTTAGGTAAGCGAGTATATTGTTCATTTTATACCACTAACAATATAATGATTTTTTGATTTTTTTCCTATCACTATCTTTAATCCCCTAAATATCAATTAGAAAAATGACCTTCAGAAAATAAACCAACCGTCAAGCTATTCAACATTATGGAATCAGGGCATTCGGAACAATTTACCCCTCTCCACCATATATGATAAACTAAAAAGATTAAACAATCTGGCCGGTTCAGCGTGCAGAAGGAAGTGGTCGGCCAAAAAAGATCCCGGCAAATGCATTAAGAGAATTAGCTAATACATCCACCGGGATTCTTTCATTCCACGACTTTATCAACAAAGTTGTCTTCAGCAGATGTGGAAATATCCCATAGAACGATATGAAGGCATTTGACTAATAGTGGATATTGAAAAGCCTTCCAAGAGCGACGCCAATACCATATGAGGATCACGTGTAAAGTGGACCAAAAACTATCTTAATGATGAAATGGGACATTACTCTATTTTCAGATGAAACCGCCTTTCAACACTTCCGAAATACCCTGGAGCGTTGGTATAAAGGATAACGACCACCGAACCGTCCTATGCCTAAAGATAGAACAAAGATTTTTACTTGGGGAGGATTTATGTAGACATACTTTGTAGACAACTTCCAGAATTTGAGGACTTGTTAGGAGACAAATGGCGGTTTAAGCAAGATGACGATCTGAAGAATGCCGGCCGCCACGTTAAAAAATTTCTTCAGGCAAATATGCCTGAAGTTATTCATTAGAATTCGAACAGCCTTGACCTAAATCTTATAGAAAATCTTTGGAGTATCGTTAAGAGAAATGTGAAAAAAAATTGGTGATTTGCGCGCCAATATGAGTGGGATGATATTCCAACAATCGACCCTAATTGGGTTAGTGATCGGCATTTTCTGCTAAAAAAATATTTAATTGTAGTTTGCAATTTGAGAAATTTCTTTTCTTGTACCACATGTAAATACGAGATCATTTTTTCTCAATCAGCTATATAAAAAGAATTCAAATTTAAAAGTGTGATGAATCGATGGTCAAGGAAATAATCTTATTTGCTCAGTTGGGTTACTGTATAAGAGTCGGATCCACCTATCTTAGACTTTGAAGTCTTGATCTATACGTTCCTGAAAAAGTTTATACATTGCCCATCTGAAATTCGTCGCGATCACATGGCCACTTCACGTAGTTATCGAAATTTTCTTTCTGATTCTTCATTAGTGAATCTTCAACATATGATAGCGCTGTGGGCTTCAGCTGAAATACAGAGATGTCGTCCATAAGAGGGACCGGATTTCCATCCTTGACTTAATTCGATTCTTGAACTGCGTGTGATATCATTGATAATCATGCATTGATAGGTTAGCTCTTTTTTTCTCGAATTTTCTTATAAACGAGCAAGGTAATTATTAAATTGATTAAATCTAATTGTTTGATATCTGATAAATCTTCCGTATAGACATTTCCATCCGTTGATACTGATTTTCGTGATGCGATCATACTTACATAATTTTCAAAGGGCAATCGATTCTTGAATAACATATAATAAAATCCTAAATTTCACAGGTTAGTCATTTTATGTTAAAAAGGAAAGAAATATAATAATAAAAATAAAACGAAAAATTGAAACATATCTTTAATTCATCGAACAACGTCATCGTTCAAACGATCGAGTATCTTCTACAAAAATAATAGCAATTAATGTCGGTTTAATGCTCAGTTAGATACTGCGAGAATATCAACATTTTAATCTTTATAGATTTTTATCGGCACCATTTTGTTTGCAATTGAAGCTTTATACATTTCTCAAAGTCGGGAATCCATAGCTCTAAGATTTTTTTTTTCCCACAGGATTTTCAAAGTGTATTTTTGTTTTTAATAACTCCTCACCTTATCGTTTAATAGTTGTAATTTACCGTGGCTTTGAACTTGGATTATAAAAATCGCGAAAAATGCAACATCTTGAAGTTTCATCTTTTATTATTTATGTAATACTGGTTTTATTGTTTTTTTCTTGTTTACCTTTGGGAAATGTATTATACACAACTTATCAATATTTTTTGCGCCATATAATTCGACTTCCATTATAAAAATGGTCATATCATTGATTAACCTAATTTCTTCAAGTTTCTCTTTTTTTACTATTGTACATCACTTTTAACCTTTTTTTATTTTAGGCAAGAAATATGAATAAGAAATTGTAAATTTTGTGGTACTTATATTTCTCTAACAAATCGGTTAAGAATGAGCTCACAATAATTATTTTGCCTAGTCTGAATTTATGCCATAAATATAGTCCAAACGCATCATCTGTCTAACGTTTCTTTTTATTTTCTTGTAACATTGGACCAGATTTTGGGAGAAACCGATAACCACGTTTAACAAATTTCCTTCCATATTCATAGAAGCTCTTCGAGGGCGTAATCGACACGTCTAGAGATTTCTTCGTCAATAATTTCAAGCTGGGTTTCCAAGGTAAGATCGTTTTTGGTTATACTCTTGACAATAGCGAATGACGAAAATAATCACAATGCGCTGCTTCATTGCTGTCAGCAAGAATACTCCCCATGTTCCCAACCTCCGCTTTATTTCCCTTACACAAGGTAGCAATTCTTCGTCATCGTCTTCGAGTGGATATGTTTCTTAGAAAGTGGAACGAAGGAGTTAATCAACTAACATAATAGTTCGTGGTTAATAATTAAGACTCACTTGGTGGAAATTCTGATTGTGCCCACCTCTTTCAAGTCTTTCTGGGTCTTGTAAGAGGAGAACGAACGCTTCTTTTTTCCTTGCACTCCTTGAAGAAGTCCGCAAATCTGATGAAGGTCCATCCGGTATTCCATAACTGCGAAGCTTTACTTCAGTTAACCTTGAGAAAGTCGCGTCCATTAACTTCTTAATTTTCTAAAATTTCGAAAATTTCTCACTAAGATCCGTTAAATTACAAAACATTATGTTATTACCTTTAATTAACCATTATAAATTATAGTAACGCCGCAGAAAATGTCACGTTCACGTGACTTTTATGCCTAATCGTTTACGAAAAATTGCAGTTACGAATTAAAATTTTTTTTGCCCATATTAATATAAATTATTTAAGTATTAGATATAGATAAATAAAGAATTAAAATAATTAAATAAATAACTTACATCCAGTTGTATTCATCAGCTTCCGACACAATTTCGGCTATATTTTAGATTTATCATGAAATTCCACAATATCAATAAAACAAGATACTTCGAAATCATTATTACTGTTTGGGTGTGTATTTTCTTTAAATTTTGTTATATTAATTCAATTTTCTCATATTTGTCTTTTTTGATTAGTCGATAATGTTGCACGACGGTTTTTATTAGATAGTCTGCAAGCGTTACGCATTTTTCTTCCATTAAAAATTCAAGAGTATGTGTTTTTAAACACCCGGAACATGTTTTTGAAGCAATATTTTCGGTGTTAGCATTATTTAAATACATTTTTTTTTTGTTAAACTAAAAACAAAATGGATAAAAAAAAGAGACATAATGACTATAGTAAATATAAAATGTACACCGGAGTCAAAGTTAAATTTTCCCTTTTAGAAATAAACAGTATAAAAGTCATATGAACATGACATTTTTCTGCGGCGTTACTGGTGTTCACCACATGCTTTTTTACTTGCTTAAAAATCCAGACTCGTGACAGATGCCGTAATAATTACGTACTCTATTCATACGAGTCTGTCATCATGTATTTAGTATTTAGAAAGGTTTATAAAAGAGTATAAATATTTACAAGGTCTGTCACCAAAAGTTTCTTTAACTGCTTACTTTTATAAATTACCTTAGTCGTCTTTATATTCTTTCCCTTCATTTAATTCTTCGCGAGTTTCACTTGTCATCAAAATGTCTATGTCTACTGCTGGTAAGTTTTTACTTCTCTTGAGGAGCATTTCTTCCTTCCTTCTCTCCTTCCTTCCTTCCGGTCCTTCCTTCCTTCTCTCCTTCTCTCCTTCCTTCCTTCTCTCCTTCTCTCCTTCCTTCCTTCCCTCCTTCTTTCCTTCTTTCCTTCCTTCCTTCTTTCCTTCCTTACTTCTTTCCTTCCTTCCCTCCTTCTTTCCTTCCTTCCTTCCTTCTTTCCTTCCTTCCTTTCCTCCTTCTCTCCTTCCCTCCTTCCCTCCCTCCTTCCTTCCTTCCTTCCTTCACTCCTTCACTTGCTTACTCTCGACACTTATTTATTTACAGAAATTACATGCAACGGATGTGGTAAAGACTCGATGATCGTGTATTTTCGCGGAAATAGGCACGGTTACCAAAAGACGCAAGATGGTATTTTATTTAATGTTGTTATTGAGTATTATTACTTTAATGATTCATCTATATGATAACTTTTGCTGTTCTTTTTCACACTCTTTACCAAGTTAAACGGAGAATCAGACAGTAAAATAACTCATAACATAGGAGGGATAAAGGTTAGTCTTTACTTAAACAAAGAATCCGCTTATTAACAGCTTCTAACTCTTATATAAACAGTATGAAACCCTTAAATCTACATTGACTTTCCATCCTGAAATCTTGCTTGGATCAATTTTTCAACAAAAAAACGAAGAGATGCTTCATAAAACCGACAGAAATGAATATTTTTTCGATCGGGACGGAAAAGTGTTTCGCTATATTACCGCAATAATTATACGGCCACAAATGATAATTATACTTTGGCCGTGGATTTGCAACAGCAAAAGTTTAATTATCTGAACCGGATAATTATAACGTAACTTCACGGGTAATCGCCGATACTATGAGCAATGCATTGATTGGTAGATTTTGCCACGAAGTGGCAAAATATCCATCATGCATTGCTTACCGTGAACTGTGAAGTAATCTCTGATATCCCGTGAAGTCACTATCAACAACAAAATATACTGTTCAGGATTTAATCAAGAAATTTCGAATGAAGAACTTTTAGATGAACTAAACTACTTTCGAATATCAGCTGCTGACAAGGATTAAAATTCACTTCATGGTAACGTTCTTTTTTAAAATCATGAAGTTAAGATGAAATGATGCAAAGAATTATGTCCGATTACTTCGGATCTAGCAAAACAAAATATTTTCAGAAAGTTTAGAGATGTAACTTTTAAACATTGAAACCTACACATTAGTATTTTATCAGTAGAATTTCCGAACGATGTGAATAAATTTTTATTCGAATTATTAACTTTATAAAGTATTTCCTATAATAAGATAAAAGTTTCAATTCCTGAAACTTTCAAGTATCTTTTCATGATGAAGGGCTATAAGTGTTTTATTATAACCATACGATAATACAAAGTTCATATGTGAGAGAACATATATTTGCTAAGTTATTCGTGACGAAGCGGGAAGATTGCATAATATTAATAAAGACATTATTAGGACTCTGATTACATGAATTTTAAACCAAAATTCCTTTGAGCTTGCGGATTTATATTTAATAAATTTATCATCATTACTTGCCAAATTGAGTAAGGTAATAGTTAATTGAAATGTATAAAAACACAATATAATTGAAATTATTTTTTTGTTTTTATTTTTTTTTTTTTACAACAAATTTTGCTTAATATGGAATCCGTCGGAAATCCTGATGAGCAAGAAGAAAATGTAAATGAAAAAACAGAGCGATCAATTCGATAATAATAGATTTCCATCAAATAACCAAACGTCTAATTACAGTAGCGCTAATAATGAAAACAGCTTGGAACAGTCTTCTAGTAAACCTATTAATAGCAAGAATAGCAAGAATGAGAACGAAATCAAAGTTATTTTTCACGCTTATTTTCCTAAAAGTACTGCTAAAATTGGACATCCCGTAATTTTTGGTGACGGAAAAGCGTTGGTTATCCCAATATAACCCTTCGACAACCATTTCCTCAAATTCCTACGAATTGGCAATCTATTCCAGTTAATATTTCTATATCAAATATTACTGAAGGGCATGCTTTTCAATATAGATATGTTATTCATATAATGGAAGGAAAATTTGTATTCGAAGGTGATCCTAATGATAATCGAATTTTGGATACTGCGAGAAATGATCAATTCGGAATATGGAAGAATAATCTAAATAATCAAGCTTTGTGTATATCCTCGGAGAAAATCAAAGACTTCGCTTTTGCTAATTTTATTTATAATTTATCAATGCTGATAACTTTAAAGATAAAGTTATACAATTTCAACAGTAATTATCTGATCCCAAGATCTAACGATTCGTGCGTCAAATCTCAAATTTATTATCAATCGTCTTGATGATGAATCACGGGTCAAACGACTTTTTTTTATCTCCTCTTAGTGTATCATTTTCAAAGACAAACCTTACCTTACGAATTACCAAATGAATTTCCATCCGAATTATTACTTGATGCATGCACTAGAGGGATATAAACAAGATACTTTACCTCAAGGCACCAGAGATCAAATATGTGTTGCCATTACAACTTTAGTACACCATAATGCTTTTCAGATGCATTTCAATTGGCTAAAGGTTTTTACAATCGCTGCAAAAGTCGACCCTAATTATACATTCATTGATCAACCCTAATGATGGATTATTAGCAAAGCTTGTTAAAAGTGCCGAAATTATTAGGCCTTATATCGATGGCATCGATTTTGAAGCTTACGTTAAACTTACCAGGGTAAAATTTTTTTTTAATTCTTATTATTATCATTATCATTGTTTTAATATCAAATTATTATTTAATAATCCTATTTTTTTTTTTTTTTTTTTTTTTTTTTTTTAAAAAAAAAATATATATATATATTTATTTATTTATATTTATATAGTGGTTAATTCAAATATTTCATAACATGGAAGGACTTTCTCACCTTGGAGTGAAGTTCTTTTGCATAATGCCGAGTTTGATAGAAATATTTTCAAGTGCTTTGCTAACCGAGTTCAAGAGAATATTTCCAGCTATTGCTTTAGCCGCTCATTTTAAGGGTCATTCTTTATTATTATTACTTATAAGTCCAAGCAGCAAATGGACGGATCAAAATATATTCGCTCGCTATACGAAACCTTCTTAAAGATGTTAATCTAAACTGCGACGTCATACTTGGCACTAAAGTTGATAACCAAATCCAATGACTTTGTATCTTTCCACAACTTTGGATGGGTGGTTTCGCAAGGACTTTTCTGATCCTAAAAAAAGGATACCGAATATTTGTGTGAATTGGTTTACGCTTTTTTTTGATCAAATTGAGTACAAATGAGGATGCCTTCGTTTTTTTTGGTATTCCAACAATTAGATCTTATGTATCCTTTGCTTAGCCAGAGGAATAATATTTGGCGTAATTTCCATCAAGAGAGTAAAGAATTGCTCAGAAGCTTAAATCTTTGCCGCAACCAAATTAATAGTGCATTTAAAACGTGACGAGTTCAAAAGTTTATTTACAGAGTTGATCAAAAAAGTATTAAGCAAGTCAGTTCAAAATATTAATGATCAATTATTTGTAATTTGTAATTGTGTTGACAAGACCAAACCTCTACATGTTACATAGGTCGAGAATCGTCTAACACATTTAGATTGATATCTTGTCAAAAATTACAAATGTCAGCATTAGATTTAAGTGACAAGTTGTCACTAAAGTTATTAGAATTTCCAAGTTTTTATTTAAATGAACGTGAACTTTAGTTTATAAGCTTATACAATCCTGTTGAATACAATGATCAGCACAGCACTAAAACAAAATTCATTATTTTTTGACCATTGTTACACAATGGCGCCTTAGCGGATATCATATTCCGGATTATTAATTTTAAATAATTTTTTTCTACCATTCTTTCAAAATAAATTTAAACCTACGCGTAAACTCAAGTATAAGAAATGTAATCGAATAAGAAAACCCTCTGTTGAAATTCATCAGATTTGTCGTTTTTGCTATAAAACAAGGATAATTGCATCAAGCGGTAATAAAGTTATTGATGATTTTTTAAGATTCACACAAACTAATCGTGTTAAACATGCTGGACGATTGGAATTTATTATTCCATATGATAGATTCAAAGGCGTAGAATTTATTGCTGAAGGAGGATTTAGTAAAGTTTATAAAGCAAAAATGTATAAAGATGGTACTAGTATGATTGTTGCTCTCAAGAAACTCAACAATTCTAAAATCATCAAATCTAAAGAATTAAATGAGGTACGATAACGGTATCCTATTTTGATTTTGAATATAAATATAAACGTAAGATAAATAATTTGATAAATTTTTTATTTCAGCTTAGATTGTATTAAGAAATTTCTTTAACTTCTAAATATAAAATAGTTGATAAAATTAATAGTTATTATGGAATTACTCAAGATCCCATTTATGAATCGGATATGACACATTACATATCTAAATATTTTTTTAAACTTTCTTGGGATTTTAAGACAAAAAGATTGGTTGATATTATAAACGGACTTGGAAGTTTACATGTAGCTGGCATTATACACCGTGATTTTCACAGTGGAGACATTTTTCATAATGCTTATGCTTATAGTCATTTACCAAAATGTGTAACAGGTGATTTGGGATTAAGTAAATCATCAACCGCATCATCAGATGCAGACGATAATGAGATTTATGGGGTTATTCCTTATGTTGTACCGGAGATTTTTCAAAGGCAAGAATATACTAAAGCTTCAGATGTGTATAGCTTTGGTATGATTATGTGGGAATTTTTGACAGGCAGAAGGCCCTTTTGGATCGTGTTCATGACGTAGATCTTATTATTGACATTTGTTATGGACTCCGCCCTCCAATTGTTACAAATGCACTTGAAGATTACATTGAAATAATGCAAGAATGCTGGCATACTGATCCAGACAGAAGACCCACTGCTGATCTCTATTCAAAAAGATACGGTGTAACTATATCTGTAAATTCGCCAGATATTGGGCCTATAGAAAATAATCCCGGTGCAATTTATAAAAAGTAGACCTTTAAGTGCAATGATAAGTTCCGCCGAATCTACAAGAAATTTAATGAGTCAAAGAATTATTTTAAGGCTTGATAAATCTTTTTTGAAAAAATAACTAATAAATTACTTTTACTAATAATTATTTATTTAAAGGTAAAAGAAAATTGGAAGCTAATCTGATGTATGATAATGAAGTTAAAAAAAAAAGTTAAATTCAATGGTAAATATTCTTTTTCATTTGTTTTGATGATTTATATATAAATAATTTAATAATAAAATTTTTATAATATAATGTATAATAATAGATTACGTTTCTAAAGAATTTGAATTTGACATCTAATTTTTTATTGAATTAAATGATCTCAATTTTAATTGTTATAATTATAATTATATGATTTTGAAATTTTACAATATAATTTACTTGTTATATCTATGATTTAATAAATAATGTTTAATACAGAACAATATTCTTTTATTGAAATTTCTCATCTTTTAACACTTAAACAAATTGACTTACAAAGTAAAATAAAATTCTTATAAAATTTATATTTAAACAAATTAAATTAAAATACTTTCAATATGCAATTTCTTTTTCCTTTAATAAATACTAAGGGATCATTGGATTATAATCTAATATTTAAATTATAATATACAAATAACTTTTTATTTTACATACTTAACATATTTAATCCTAGCATTATTACTTTTATTTTAAAATGTATAGTATATTCTTATAATGAATACTATTTTAAAAAGCATAACTATTTTAATATTAGAAAGGGTAGAACACTGAGAATGAGGTTGTTTAGCATAACAGTAGGAGGGTGTACTGACAAATATTGCTATTTTGCTTGATCAATAATTGATCAAATATTTCTTTTGAGAAAGGTATAAACTTTAATATAATTTTAATATCTATCTTATTTATTTAATGAAAATATTTATATTATTAAATTTGAAGATTTAATTTAAACTTTATTTATGAATTAAATATCATCAGAATTTTAAAAATTTAATAATATTCTTTTTTGTTGTTAACTGCTTATTATACAAAAAATTTATTTATATTATAAATTAATTTGATTATTAATAATTTGATACTAAAAGTTTAAATATATTTAATATAAACAAAAAACTAAATAAAAAACATTTGTAATAGGTAAAAAAAAAATATTTTTATATAATATTTAGTTAAATATATTGATAATATTCTTTTAATATTTTATTTTTAATATATATTTTAATTTTTAGTAACTAGATTCATAATTATAACCAGTCAGAAATTAACCTTAATATTTGAAAGTAATATATGTATTTTATTTAATTTTTATAAATATCATTATTAATTTTGCTAGTATATATAAAAATATAGTAATATAAATATAAAACTTATATAAAAAGATAGAAATTACATAATTTTAATTGCAAAATTTAAAGTATTTGACAAATTATTTTATAAAAAAAGGAGAGTTATGATAACAAATTACTTTTTCAAAAATTAATTTTGAAATATAAGAGTTTTAAAGAAGAATCTTTAACTAAAAAAAATGTTGTTAACTCTTTTATTACAATTACTTTCAACTACCTAACCTTTAGAATTTATTATAAAAAATGCTAAAAATATTTTAAAAAAAATTACAATTTTAATTTTTACCAGAATTATTATCTAAATTTAATATAATACAAATAATATTCTTTTTAATCTATTAGTTAATGTAATAGCTATTCCACTATATACTATTGAATTTGGCTGATTATTTGATATAATATTTCAAACTTTTTTATCTTGTATATATGTAAAAAAACAAATCATTTGTAATCACAGTATATGAGATATTTTAATATGATATTATTTTTAATTATAAGAAAAAAAATTTAAGTTGTAACTAATCTCTTTAAATCAATTATTTTAGAATTTATATAGAAATTTAATTGATAATGAACTTATCTAAATTATAATAAAGTTGCTAAAAAATTTAGCATATTTGATAAAATATATTAATTACTGTTAAATAAACATTATTCCAATTGAAATATTTATTAATATTAGATAATGCTGAATTAAATAAAATTTATAATTTTATTAATCTTAATATAACTAATTTTATTTATAATAATTTAGTCATCTTATAATCACTTAAATAATTACAGTAATTTACAATTTACTTTTTATTATATCTTTAAAAGTTATGATTAATATTTTTTAGAAAATAAGCTTTTATTTAGATTTTTTTATAATTAATTATAATTATAGAATATTATATATTAAGCAATTTTTATTATATAATTTTACTTGAAAATAATTATTATTTTAAATATAAGTTTTTATAAAAGTTTTATTTTTAATAATATTTTATCTTTCTTTTTTTTGTTTAATAAAATAAAAAATATAAATATAATTAACTTATATTAATAAGTTTTTTATCTGTAAATTTAAAGCTATTTATATTTAATTTGTGACTTTATAATCTTACATTAATTTTTCTTTATAAATCATTTACTATAATAAAAAAAAATTTAAAAAATTAGCTTAAAATTATTAGATAAAATTACTTATATGATACTTTGAAATAAATTTTAGTTATTAAAAATCAAATTTAATTTACTTAATATAATAATTATTTATTCTATTAATTATTAAATTAAAATTACTATTAAAAATCTTATTGGCCTAATTATTTAAGAAAAAGTGAAGTAATATTTAAAATAAAAAAAGTGTTATAAAATTTTATTATATTTAAAATAATATCATAGAAATGTATATTTTTATCAAAATTTTAAAAAAATTTTAATTTCAAAAATTACTAAATTTTTTATTTTGTTTTTTTTTTATTTTTTTTATTTTAAATTCAATTAGTTCTCTTTCTTAAGTCACTTGATTATCACAGTAAGATATGCTAATAAATGAATAATTTCTTTTTTTAGTTTTTTTTTATTTTTTTTATTTTTTAATAAATTTTTTTGGATTTTTTTGGATTTTTTAAACCAAATACTAGAAAAACTTTTAAATAAAACTATCTGATTTATTATTATAATAAAAGTATACTGATTAAATTTTTTTTATTTTTTTTATTTTTTATTTTAGGTTTGATCAATTTTTTTTCTTAAACTAAGAATTAGATAGAATTTTTTAATAAAGTTTTTTAGTTTATTATTCTAATAAAAGATAAGCTAACTAATTATCAGTTTTTTATTTGATTAAATAATTTTATTTTATTTTTTTTTATTATTAATTTTAAGTTAGATTAATTCTATCTCTTAAGTTAAGAACTAGTTAAAACTTTTGAGCAAAATTATTTATAGTAAGATAAACTAACTAATTTTTTTGATTTATTTTTTTCTTTTTCTTATTTTAGTAATTAGTTCTAATTACTAATTTTATTTATTTTATTTATTTATTTAGTTAATTGTTTATTTTTTTTTAAGTAATTTTAAGTTAAATTGATTATATTTTAAAGAATTTTTAATCAGTGATGAATATAGATAACTAAAATTATTTTTTTAATGCATTATTTTTTTATTTTATTATTAATTTTATTTTTAAACTAGATAATTTTATTCCTTCAACTAGAATTATCAAATAAAACAGAATTTTCATTATCACAACATAAATATTTGATGAAATTTATGATTTGTTAAAATTTATTATTACTTTAAATATTAGTAATTATAATCATTATAATTACTAATCATTATTTTTTATTTTATTTTTTTTACATAATTACATAATATAAATTATAAAAAAACTTTCTTTATTTATTTATATGATTATTTTATCTAATTTTTTTTAAAAAATTATATATAAATAATTATTAGTATTTAATATTAAAATTGATATTAAAATTGATATTAATATTAATATTATTATTATTATTGATATTGAATATTAATATATAAAAATGACCTCTATAGTTTCTGTATAAAGCTAACTTTTCCTTTTTAAGACTAATATTATATAAAGTAAAATTACCTGATATTAATAACTATATAGCATAAACTATATATAATGTTAAAAATTCATTGATTATAAATATTACAAATATATTAATAATAAAATAATTTTTCAAATTTTTATATTTTTATTTGCTTTATTAATTAATTAATTTCTATATCTCAAGTAAAATTTATCAATCTAAAAAAAGATCAAATAAATATATAAAAAAACAAATAATATTTTAATTATTAATCTTTTGCATCTTAAAATTTTATGCTCAAAATTAATTATTAACATGAATATAATAAGTTTGTAAATCACTTACAGTTATACAAAAATAATTAAATTCAAAATTTTTCTGATAATAAGTAAAAAAATTATTAATAAGTAATAAAAGCTTAGTTAACCAATAATAATAAACTGCATTCATATCATAAAATTAGTTTAATCAAGTTATTATTAAACTTAAAGATTAGGTTTAAATTTTAAGTAAATTTAACATTTATAGATATGATAATCACCTGATTTTATTATTTAGAATATTATAGCAATAAAAATATTGGAATGTAAAGTCTAATCCTATTACTATAGATTTTATAATTTTCAGTAAAATAAAAATTACAGTCAAATAAAAATGATAAATAAAAGTGAATAATAACATTATAACTGAAACTGCGTACATTTAACAGTAATTTTTAAAGTTAATTAAGCTGATTCATTTGCAGTTTAATGATCTATATAAATTACCACTAAACTTTACTAAATGCAAAAATGGTAATAATACTTAGAAGTTTTATAGATTATCTAAATAATAAAATACAAAACCTATATTAAAATCTAAAGAGATAAATAATTACAATATTATCAAAACTTAGTAAAAGATTAGCAAAAATAATGGTTTAGATATGTTTGCAAGTCAAAAATAGGTTTAGACAAATAATCTTAAATTTAAGAGAAGAGAATTTTGTAAAGAAAAGTTATAAAATCATGAACTTGTCTATTAACTATAATTTTATTTGCCCTTTTTTACAATAAATAAATGATTTCTAAGCATTTAATATTGATCGAATATTTATTGAAAATAATTTACTTACTAAAACTTAAATAGCTTGTATATAATCAAAAAACACGTCAAGTAGTACTGCATACGGAAATAATAAAAGCATGACCATTTAACTTATTTATATTTAACATTATACCTATTCATCATCTCCTGGAAACTTGACATATAAATAGTTGCGAACGATGAAAAGTAAAACTAATGGAAATGGAAATTAAAATTATCAACCAGACTAGTTATTACAAACCATCAAATATTAAGCCCTAAAAGATACTTACTTCATGTTTAGAATTATGAACAAAAATAATATTGTGTGCCAATTCATGACAAAATGTCAAAAACCAGTAAGTCATGGCATTACCAGTGTTCCCAATTTCACACTCATCATCATGTGATTTTAGGAAAAATTTTAGATTGAAGAACAATGCTCCCTTACTGTTAAACGCAACCGAACTTGAATTAGTGTCATAGAATATATGAATAACTTCTGATGCGAGTTGAAAAACTTCTGCAAGTCGTTTTAATACGTTCAAAAAACGATTCAGTTGAGCACTATGTGTTTGAAATAGATTTGTCGAGGTAACAGCATTTATTGGAACGTAAATTTTAACCTCTTGTGAAGTTCCAACATAGTATAATAAATGACCTAAAATGATAAAATACATCAATGTTGAGAAAATCGATATAATTAAGTTACTATATCGTTCATACCAGGAATAATGTCGCAGTAACTCGGCTGATTTTCTTTGACAATTTGGACCATAGCTTGATTGTTAATCCCTCCCAAGTTAGAGCGACAAGCATCAATGGCTGATTGTAAGGTATTTTGCAGTTCTCCAGGAGTTAAAGTGGATTGTTGGATGTCATTGTTCATCACATAATTCTCGACGGTGCGTAAGTTAGGCAAGTTGGGTATACAATCAATTGGAAACATATTTGCCAATTTCGATAAAGATGTGGTTAAAAGCATGTTGAGAAAAATGACATCCCTTCGTTTGTTTACTTCATAAATATTTCTGGCTAGACGTTCAGAAATTTCGATAATTTCCGAATTAGGTGTTATATAAAGTATCCATGATTGCTTCATTTTCTCTTTGATACAAGCAGTAACGAATTTACTTTCGGTTTTGATTTCTTTTTTTGTTTTTAATGTGTAAGTTGCTTTTATTTGTTGGACTTCTCTAACTTTTAGCTTCATAAGCCATTCCACATCTCTTTTTATCTCACTTTTTTGATACTCATGATAGAACAAATGTGCTCTATCCATGATCGTTTCTTGTAGCTTTCGGGAATTCTTGGTTTCTTGTTCCCCACCAATTGGATTTATATTTTCTGAAACAGATGCACGTAATGATTTACTTCCCAAAGCCTAAATCAAAATGATCATTTAATTAATTGATAATAAATTAAAAATTAATTAAATAAAAAAAAAGTAACGTACTGTATACAAATATTTCAATTTATCTTCTTCTGGAGCGAATAATGGTTTGAAAATTTGCTGATACTCCGGGTCATCATTTATGTAAATGTCTTCTGCTGAAGCCAAGCAATATTTGCCAATCTGTGCGGCTACAAGAATAGGCGCTTTCTTCATTTCCATAACTAATCCTAGATCGTATATTATACTATAATCATATTCAACGGCAATCCTATTTAAAATCATTAAATATTTTTCGGCATCCCCGATCGAATTCCAAATTTCACTTGATGATTTCACTAATAATTTGGCATGGTCTGCTGGTAGTGGCTGGTTCTTTACGCCACAACTTTGGAGAAATTTATTGGCCTTTTGTCCAAAATCGATTAATGTAAAGTAATCATCCAGACTGAAAAGATTTTAAAAAATATTAACCCAAACGATTCATAGATAAGGAAATAACTTTTATTGAAGTGAATCAAATGAAACAAATATACCTTCCTTCTTGTGCTTTGGCAAAGAAACAACTACAAGGATTTGCACGAATAATTGTATCAGGTTGAAGTTTATCTTGAATTGGGATAAAATTGAGATTAGAAATAACCTTCCAATCAAAGTCTCCCTGTCGTGAAGCCAAATATTCAAAGATTTTTTTTGCATTATCCACATCTTGTGGTGGATTCTCAATTAACCAATTTTTGAGTTCTTCATTGCTAGGATAATGACGAACACCAAATTGTTCCACCTGAAACCGTAAATCTTGGCGTATTGATTTGAATTTCATTATTGAACATTCAGGTTTGATAAAACACTCTAAAGGCTTTGCGTTAATGCTTGGATCCATACAGGGTAAAAATGCTACATTAACATTTTCCACATCGTAATCTTTAGAATATTTATTATTAAAATTATCAATAAAATATTTAAGGGCTTTGCTACGAACGTTAGGATCGGTTGGAGGTGCTGCCAATTCTAGAATTTGTTGAAGTGCAGGAAATTCCGGCAAGCCTAGATCAATTAAGAATTTCCCTGCAAATTTTTTTTTAAAAAGTTTCTTTATAATGTAAACTTGAATATGTGAATATTAGATACAGAAATACCCAATCAAAATATACCTTCTAATGTATTACGGATCCATCTTTTTCTCCAATCAAGTAAAGGTAAACCCAATTCGCGATGTATAGATGAAGGTACGTACAAATCACTAATAACAAAGCGTTGAAATTCAGGATTTAATT